GTCATTTCAGACTCGTTCACCGCAGTCGGCGTCGCCATGATTCCGCGCCCGCCCAAGCCGCCGACTCGCAGTGAAGTGCCCGCTGGGATGCGCCCAGCGGTCAGCGCCATCGCGGCCGCGCCGGCGGCACCAAACTGGCTGGCCGCCGCGCGCAAGTGCTAGGGCTGGCGCGGCAGCGGGGCTGTACCAGCCAACGCCAAGCATGCATCGCAATCGCCACCGCATGAGTTTTGCAAACCACGTTGCGGGTGGGTGGGTGGGTGGGATGTTTACAAGAGCATGGGGCGCGTCGAATCATGGGTAAAAATCAGTTGTACCGCATCGATTGCACCATTTAGGTTGCATCACGCGAATTGCACCACATAGTTTGCACACCATGGATCCCGCCACCGAAATCGTTGAACAACCGTTGGCTTCGTAATGATTTCGAATAGGATTGTCCCAGAATTTTTCAAATAAAAAGTCATGCGGTTTTGCAACATCAGGTGTCAAACGCGTCTGTGCGCGCGTTCTCGCGAATTCCGATGGAAAAACGTGCCTCCACATTTTCAACACAGTCGACCAAACGGACTCGTCCGCGCCGCATGCTGGCATCATTTCACCGCCGTTGCGCGCGTGCCGGGAAGGGGCACGACCCGTTTCAAATAGCACCATTCGGGCCATGCGCGCGCGTCGGCCGCGCGTGCTTGTCGAACTCATCCCAAATCGTTCGTCACCGACGATAGGGCACCGTCATCGCCATCGGCGTGATCAGAATCGGCGCCGTCATTGGCTTTGACGTCGTTGTCGTCGTCATCGTCGACAACATCGCTAGTGACATCCTCGTGTCTACCGTTGCCAACGTTGCCATGATACCGCGCCCGCCCAAGGCACCGACTCGCCCTGAAGTGCCTGTTGGGCAGTGCCCAGCCGTTGTCCCCACGTCGGCCGCGCCAAAGTAGCTGGCCGCTGTGCGCGCGAGCGTGCGTGGGGTAGCTCGGCCGCAGACATGCACCAGCCAACACCACGCCTCATCGTAATCGCCACCGCATTGGTTTTGTAAACCAAGTTGCGGGTGGGTGGATGGGATGTTTGCGCGGGCAGTGGCATTGACAATTCCAATATATCCGAAATCAATTATACCACACATGTTGTACTTATTTTTTTGCGTCGCGCACATTGCACTATACTGGCTGCCCGACATATCCTATTATTCCGCGCCGCGCAACTGCAGAACATCGGTTGGGCAATTTTTTTGGCGCAGCGTAGAATACAAAACGTGGGTCGCACCACATGTGTTGTTCCACGCCGGGTGTTCAACATATATTCTCTATGATTATCTTTTTCTAAAAAGAGAATCGATTCCCCCCCCCCTCCGGCGTTAGCCGTACCCCTTTCGGGTATGTAAATCATATATGGTTCTAACCACACGTCCATCCTAACTATGAATTTACACTATCCCAGGGGGGTTGGTATGGACCCCCTTCTGGGGATCCCTGTTAAAAAGTGATACGCGGGGACATTTTTTTCTACCATAACACTTTGTCATGAATCCCTTGCAACCAAAAAAAAGTGACGAAGTGCACACGCGCGCGCCGTCGCGCGCGCATGCCGAAATCCTCCACAAACCTTCGGTGTCGGAAGGATTTCGCAATCGAGTTTCCAAAACGCATACAAAAAACACAGGGCTTTCTAACCTGGATTTGCAAAACAAGCTTACGCGCGAGTTCTTCGAAATTTTCAGACAACCATAGGTCGTTTTCCAATATGTTCACAACATGCTACCAAACGGGTTTCGCGCGCGCATGTCGAAATGTGTCGAACGCCATTGCGCGTGTCCCGTCGCGAGAATGCTTTGCAACAAATTGGACGAAGTGCACACGCGCGCGTCGTCGCGCGCGTATGCCGAAATCCTTCAAAACCCGTCGGCTTCGGAAGGATTTCAACATCGTGTGCCACAAAAAACTGCAAAAACACAAGGTTTCGCCACACGGATTTTCAACAAAAGCGTGCGCGCGCGCTCTTGCGTCGTCGTCGTCGTCGTTGTCGTCGCCGTCCTCCCTCCGCCCGCGTCGTCGTCGTCGTCGCCTACGCCGTCCTCCGTCTTTCCTCGTGTTCGTCGTCGTCGTCCTCTTTGGCGTCGTGGTCGTTTCCGTCGTCGTTGTCGCCGTGGTCGTCCTTCCTCCTCCTCCCTCGTCGTCGCCGTCGTCCGTCGTCGGCGTCTCGTCGTCGTCCCTCCTATTTTCGTCGCGTCGTCGTCGTCGTCGTGTCGTCGTCGTCGTCGTCGTCTTCCCTCCTCCCTCGTCGTTGTCGTCGTCGGCGTCGCCGTCCTTCCTCCTTCTTCGTCGTTCGCGTCGTCGCCGTCCTCCCTCCTCCCTCGTCGTTGTCGTCGTTGTCGTCGTTGTCGCCGTCGTCGTCCTCCCTCCTCCCTCGTCGTCGTCGTCGTTGTCGACGTCGTCGTCGTCTTCGTCGTCGTCGTCGGCGTCGGCGTCGTCGTCGTCTTCGTCGTCGTCGACGTCGGCGTCGTCAGCGTCGCCGCCGTCGTCGTCGTCGTCGTCGCCGTCGTTGACGTCGTCGTCGTCGTCGGTTTCGTCGTTGTCGTCGTCGTCGTCGGCGTCGTCATCGTCGTCGTCGTTGTCATCGTCGTCGTCGTCGTCGTCGGCGTCGGCGTCGTCGTCGTCGGTGTCGTCGTCGTCGTTGTCGGCGTCGTCGAAGTCCTTGGAGACGTCGTCGGTGTCGTCGTAGTCGTTGTCGCTGTCGTCGTCGTCGTTGTCGCTGTCGTCGTCGGCGTCGCTGTCGTTGCCAAGTGCCATTTGGTACCCATCGTCACGGTCTGAAGGGATTTTGCAAACCAAGTGGCGGGTGGGTGGGCGGGATGTTTGCGCGAGCAGTGAAGTGGACAACTCGTTTGCCAAAATCATTAAACAGAGAACAGACTCCACCCCCCCTGGCGTTATCCGCACCCCTTTCGGGTATGTAAATCATATATGATTCTAACCACACGTCCATCCTAACTATGAATTTACACTGTCCCAGGGGGGCTGGTATGGACCCCCTCTGGGGATCCCTGGTGAAAAATCGATACGTGGGGACATCTTTTGTTCTAACGCAACACTTTTTTGCACGAATCCCGTGCAACAAATGTGACGAAGTGCACACGCGCGCGCCGTCGCGCGCGCATGCCGAACTCCTTCAAAAACCTTCGGTGTCGGAAGGATTTCGCAATCGAGTTTCCACAAACACAGGGTTTCGCAACACTGATTTGCTAAAAAAACTTACGCGCGAGCCCTTGCGAAATCTTCAGAAAACCAGCGGTTTTCAAGATTTCCATAACATGCTACCAACTGGGCTTCGCGCGCGCATGTCGAAATCTGTCGAACACCCTTGCGCGTGTGCCGTCGCGAGAATCCTCTGCGCACAATGAGACGAAGTGCAGACACGCGCGTCGTCGCGCGCGTATGCCGAAATCCTTCACAACCCATCGGCTTCGGAAGGATTTCAACATCGTGTGCCCCAAAAAACTACAAAAACACAATGTGTCGCAACACGGATTTTCAACAAAAGCGTGCGCGCGCGCTCTTGCGTCGTCGTCGTCGTCGTCGCCGTCCTCCCTCCTCCCGCGTCGTCGTTGTCGTCGTCGCCTACGTCGTCCTCCGTCTTTCCTCGTGTTCGTCGTCGTCGTCGTCCTCTTTGGCGTCGTGGTCGTTTCCGTCGTCGTTGTCGCCGTGGTCGTCCTTCCTCCTCCTCCCTCGTCGTTGTCGTCGTCCGTCGTCGGCGTCTCGTCGTCGTCCCTCCTATTTCGTCGCCGTCGTCGTCGTCGTTGTCGTCGTCGTCGTCTTCCCTCCTCCCTCGTCGTCGGCGTCGTCGGCGTCGCTGTCCTTCCCTCTTCTTCGTCGTTCGCGTCGTCGCCGTCCTCCCTCCTCCCTCGTCGTTGTCGTCATTGTCGTCGTTGTCGTCGTCGTCGTCCTCCCTCCTCCCTCGTCGTCGTCTTCGTTGGCCACGTCGTCGTCTTCGTCGTCGTCGGCGTCGGCGTCATCGTCGTCTTCGTCGTCGTCGACGTCGGCGTCGTCGTCGTCGCCGCCGTCGTCGTCGTCGTCGCCGTCGTTGACGTCGTCGTCGTCGTCGTCGGTGTCGTCGTTGTCGTCGTCGGCGTCGTTATCGTCGTCGTCGTTGTCATCGTCGTCGTCGTCGAAGTCGTTGGAGACGTCGTCGGTGTCGTCGTAGTCGTTGTCGGCGGCGTCGTCGTCGTTGTCGGTGTCGTCGTCGGCGTCGCTGTCGCTGCCAAGTGCCAATTGGTACCCACCGTAACGGTCTCAAGAGATTTTGTAAACCAAGTTGCGGGTGGGTGGGTGGGATGATTGCGCGAGCAGTGGAGTTGACAATTTCAAGTTCGGCAGGATGAGTTGCACCACATAGGTTGCACCATATAGATTGGACCATGTAGATTGTACAACACATTTGTTTCTGCAAGTCGCCGCACATGTTTCACAACGTAGGTTGCAGTACATGGGTCCCCCACACAGGTTGCACAACACGCGTAGCGAGCAACACACTGTTTGGGTTCCGCGTTGGCCAACTTCCCTGTCATTATCCTTTCGTTTCCATTCGTATTCCTTGTTTTTCCTGTTCATATCTTCGTCCATACCTTACTGCCAATCCGTAATTCCACACGTATCCCGATCCGGATCCCCCCATCTTGGCCACCCTCCGTGGGCCTCGACATTTCTGCCCAAGTGTTGCCCGTGTAGAGATAGCTGTTTCGGTTCCAGCCATCACGGAGGCGACAATTTCCCCAGAGCCGCCGTCGTGTTCTTTCTCCCACGACGAGCGTAGGTGTGGGCCAAACGTCTCCCTCCCCTCCTCTTCCTCCTCCTCCTCCTCCTCCGTCTTCTCCTCCTCCTCCTCCTCCTTCTCCTCCGTCTCCTCCTCCTCCTCCTCCTCCTCCTCCTCCTCGTTCTCCTCTTTCTCCTCCTCCTCCTCCTCCTCCTCCTTTCCCTCCTCCAGCGGCTGCGCGCGAGCAGGCGCCGCCCGGGCCCCGCTGCCAGGCGCCGACGCGGGAGGCCTCGGCGGCGGCCGCGGGCGGCGCGGCGGAGACGTCCGGGGGGCGACGCCCGGGCGGCGCGCGGCGCTGGCGGCCGCGCGGCGATTCGCGCGTTGCCTCTGGCTCGCGGGCTGAGGGTGCGCGGCACGGAGGGCTCGGCGAGGCGCATCGGCGACGGGGGGTCCCCCCCATTCAGCGACGCCCAGGAGTGCTCTGACCTCCCGCGGGGTGGTGTTCGCCAGCTCGTTGGCCCAAGATCGTGGGGGCCTCGCGGGCCGGGCCTCTGGGCCGCGGCCCAGCGGATACGAAACGTTTCGGTTCGCGGATGCCCCGCGCGGAGCGTACCCGTGCGACCGCGTATCCGCGGGACCGCGCCCCGCAAGCCAGACTGCGAGGACGCGGATCGGGCGGGTGGCAATGGGGGGTGGGACTCACACGGGGGGCGAAGAGATGGGCCCCAAGGGGCCCAAACGGGGGCCCTCTTTCTCGCCCCCCGTGGTGGCCAGCCCCCCTTTTTGTGCCACGCGCCCGAGCGGATGCGGACGCGCCCGCCGCTCGTGGAGGTCGTGGGCCCCAGGGCTCCGCCACGAGGCAGGCGGCACCCGACGGAAGCGGGCGCTGAGGTGAAGTCGGGCCTGTCCCTCTACAGGAGGAACCTGCAAGCATGGCACAGAGATGATGCGTGGGGACGATTTGTCGTTTCGCGTGCTTGAGCGTTGCTTCTTCGATGTGCCTCTCTTTTTATTCTTCGTCCAAAAAATCGGCCTGTAGGGGGACGTGCCCGACTGGACTCTGAGGATCTCTCCCCGCTCTCGGGCTCCCAGGGCCCTCGAGGTCCGGGGGACGCCGCTTGAAAACGAGGCACAGGGCGAGCGACTTGGGAGGAGGAGGCGGAGGAGGCGTAGGAGGAGGAGGGGTCGCCTGAGCCCTTCGGAGAAGCCCTCCACAGGGCCCTCCGCGGGCCGCGGGGCTGCTGGAAAACGGCACAGGACGAGCGACTTGTCCAAGGGGGCCAGGGCCCAGGGGTCCAGGCACCGCCTCCCTCGGGACTCGCTCCGATTCGAACCCGCCTCCCCCCCCCCCCAGTTTGCCGGGAGGGTGGGCCCCCCCCTCCCCGTTCCTGGGGAAGGGGAGGGGGGACCAGACTTGAAGGGGGGGGGGCTCCAGTCAAGCGTTGGTTGATCGCGCTCCCTCGATTGATACGTTCCAGAATTGCCAGCGATTCCCAAACTTTCTGACGTTCCACACGGGCTGCAGAATTGAGGGCCGCTAGATATTTTGGAAATCCCGCAGCGTACCCTGAACCACTCCTATCATGACATCATGCTCGTCCTCTTCTAGTGTTGGAGCCCGCTGGGGGTGCGAGGTGGCCCAACATTGGTTCCGGCGAGCAGGATGGGGGGCAGGTTCGAATTTCTGGATTCGAGAAGGTGTTTAGCTGTTTCATTCCCTGGGGACCGTTTTCTGGTCTCAGGACCTCGCAACACGAATCTGGGGTGAAACATTACAACACATTGACCCCAGGGGGGGCCCGAGGATTGATTCTGAGCGGAGTTGCCTTCATCCCCCCTTGATCGATTTTCCCGGGTCAAACCAGCTAAGTCAAGTTTTGCTTGTACCTCTGGATGATCGAGGAGGGAAAGTGGCTCGCGTCTGTGGCAGGCCTCATGCTCAGGCCTCCAGCCCTCTGAGCGCTTCCTCCCCCCCTCCTCCTCAGAAGGAGAGAGGGGGTGGAGGAGCATGGATCGCCCGACTTGCATCTTGTCTCCAAATCCGCTTCTTGAGGCAAACACCCGCTTCTTTCTCCTTTGGGGCGCGTCTGAGTTGCTGTTCAGCCCGCTGGCTTCGGAACGAGTGCCAACTTCAATTTCTCTTCAGCAGCGCTTCCAGTGTAAAGCTTGTAAGGTGGATGGCCCCCCATGGCAGGAGGAGGGGGAGGAAGTCTGCTGGCGCGTGGCCCGCGCACGGGCGGCCTGGCTTTCTGGCAGGCGAGGCGGAGATCGCAGCTGTACATAGAATGCTTGCGAGCGGTGGTCCTCCCTATAATAGCATGAACATAACACTGTCCGAGGCCCCGCATGCCGCCGACTCTGGCGCCTCCCCCCTGCGCGCTCCGCGCGCCGGTGAGGGTGCCCAGCGCCGATCCACGAAATCCGAGTGGGCCTCCGGCAGCTTTCGACTACACGGCAATGTTACCTTCACCGGAGTGACCTTTGGTGTTGGCCCCCCCGGGGCCCCCCGATCGCCGAAGGCGATGCGGTAGCAGCGCCTTGTGCGCTCGTGCTTGGTTCCCCCGCGGCACCCAAACGGCCGCGCACCAAGGTCACTGTTACCCAGGGCCATTCTTGCGTGTAGTCGAAGTTTATGCTTGTGCCGTTTTTTTCTCGTTCTGTCCCTTTTGGAACGTGTTTCTTTATTGCTTGGGGCATAGTGGGCATTATAGCCCCCGGCCCCCCCCACCCACACACACACAAGCACACAAACACACAAACACACAAGCACACAAGCACACACGCACACACGCACACACGCACACACGCACACACGCACACACGCACACACGCACACACGCACACACGCACACACGCACACACGCACACACGCACACACGCACACACGCACACGCACACACGCACACACGCACACACGCACACACGCACACACGCACACACGCACACACGCACACACGCACACACGCACACACGCACACACGCACACACGCACACACGCACACACGCACACACGCACACACGCACACACGCACACACGCACACACGCACACACGCACACACGCACACACGCACACACGCACACACGCACACACACGCACACACACCCGCACACACACGCACACACACGCACACACGCGCACACGCGCACACGCACACACGCACACACACACACACACACACACACACGCACACGCACACGCACACGCACACGCACACGCACACGCACACGCACACGCACACGCACACACGCAACGTAACGCCTCTCCCCCCCAGTGCGCTCCGGGCTACGGCGGGGGGGAGGCGTAACCTTGTACCCCCCCTCTCGCCCCCCCCCCTACCATAATGCCCATGATCACCGAAAATAAAGAAACGCGCTCTTGCCCCCGCTCCGGACCAGATCCCGCCCCTCTCCTCGACGCCCCGCGGCTGCAGCGCTGGCAGCTTCCGCTCCAGGCTGCCGCCGCCAGGGCCCCTCGCCTCTCCACCATCGATCGCTGCCCGCGAGATCTGCCCCCTGCCGTGAGCCACTAGGTCACGCCGCCCGTGCGCACCGACGAGCGCCCGTGATCAGCCGCGCGCAGAGGGGGGTGGGGGCATGGGGGAGGGCTTCTCAGAAGCACCCTTGCTTCTTAGAAGGCGCGGGCCTTGTCTATAGATGTAAGGTCGGCGCCTTCTAAGAAGCAGCCCCTCCCTCTCAGAAACCCTGCCCCCTCCCTCCACCCCCTTTGTGCGCGCCGCCAGGGTGAGGGGGTGCCCCCTCCCAGCCACGCCCGCGGGACTGGCCGGCACGCATCTACAGCACGATGCACTGGTCGCCAGCCTGTTGGAATACCCCACCTGTACATAGCGGGGCGCAGAGGCCCCGCAGGCGTTTTAACGGACGAGCCTCGCAGCCTCGGACGCAGGAGAAGTGCCACCGACGCTGGCGTCAAGGCCAACCCATGGCGACGAGCTCCAGGATGCCTCCCCGGGCCAGAAAGTTGAGACGTCTCCAGCGGGACGCCGAAAGACAGCGGCGCCACGTTCCTCTCTCTCCTGACCGCAGGTGTGTAGACTCGGGATCAAGAAACGGTCTCGGGAATATGTTCAAGAGCTCCAGGACCTGCCTCGTGGAAACATCACGATGTCGGCAGCATCCCCCCCCGCCCCCTCACAAACGCCCCACGACCTGTCTGAAAGCGCGGTGTGACCAGGAGTGCGAAGCGGATCCAGCCGCGGCGACGGGGGCCGCCCCCAGAGTGGCTCGCTGTCACTGCCGACGAGGCTCGAGAGGCAATACCCTTCAGGCCTTGGCAACCCTAGCTCACGTTTCTGTGACAGGGATGCTCATGGCACCCGTGCGCGAGGGCCCTGCTGCTCAGCCTGATTGTTTTAAGCTTCGCGCAGCGGCGCAACCCGCCGGCATGGCGAAGTGGCGCGGCGTGTCGCACGAGGCGGCGAAGACGGTCGGACGGGCTTGAGTATCGCCGACATCGGGCATGCAATCAAGGATGGCAGGGAGGAGGTGGTGAAGGTGCGAGGGCGCCGAAAGGGAAGGGGAGCAAACTCAGGTGTTGGGAGACGAAGGCGAGGTTGAGCAGGCTGAGGGAGGCTCTGAGGGTTGCGGGGGGGATCTGAGGAGGAGGAGGAGGAGGAGGAGGAGGAGGGGGAGGAGGAGTGAGGAGTGAGGAGTGAGGAGGAGACCAAAGAGTGAAGAGAGGGAAGAGGAGGAGATGGAAGAGTATGACGTCGACGAGTGGAGGCCAGGTCCTGAGTCCCGTGACTGGTGGCCCCTCAGTCATGTGTCGCCTCAGGCGAGTCCCGGCCCCAGGGTGACCCCGGCCTTGCCAGGGGGGGACCTGGCACGCGGCCTCCAGGGCAACCCGCAGGAAGGCCAGGGAGCCCCGGAGGTCCTCCAGGGTGGCGAGGGAGCAGGGGATCTGGGCACAGCAAAGAACCACAGCCACAGCTAAGTGTAGAATTTTCGGCAGCGTCACCCGGAGAAGAACCCACCGACCTCGACATGAACATGTTGGTTGTGGTTGCGGGCGATTTTGCCGTCCTGGACGCCCAGTTCGACCACAGCCAGAACTAAGCTGGCTTTGGTGTTCAACGATTGCAGCATGCCTGCAAGATATCCCAGAGGACGTGTCCTTGATGTGGTTGTGGTGGTCGCTTGCTGTCCCAGCAGGGGAGGGGGGAGGGAGGAGTGAGGGGGACAAGGCACGAGGACCTGGAGCGCGGAGGGTGGAAAGGGTAGATCAACGTCCTCATCATCGACCTGTCCGTCGCCGCCCCAAATTACACAGTTTCCTAGACTATCGTGGCCATCTTTGCCGTCTTCTTGGTGTCCTGTGCCTTCTTCTTGGCACTCAGCAGGCGTTGTAGATAGCACCCGAGCCGGTCTTGCCGGTTGTCGATACC